AGGCAGGACACAGGAAAACTTCAGCTACATTTTAGTACAAAAGGACAGGTTTGAATACTGAATCATAGCAGAGAAGGATTCTAGAAGGAAGATAAAGAGAGAGAGAGAGAGAGAGAGAGAGAGAGAGAGAGAGAGAGAGAGAGAAAGAAAGCACTGAAAGAGTGGTCTGTTTGTAGTCCAGGGAGTCAAAAAAGCCAGAACACCATATCTAAGCATCAAAGAATTACAGTAAAATGCAAATAAATCAAAGAAACAAGTGAGATTTCCAGACAAGTTAAATATGCCGATGCTTTTAAATTACATGGTTTTTTTTGTTTTTTTTTTTTTTTTACCTTATCCAGCATCACTGTCACTGATTCATCTTCTATATTCATGAGAGAAAGCCATTTTCTTTGAGCTCAGGAACTGTCAAAGTCAGTTCTAATGGTATCCGAGGTCTGCTAATCTTCATGAATGGTGTTCTGTCTACTGTAAGACCCTTAGCACCATCCCTGATCCAGAATCACTAAATGCTACTTATGTTCTCCTTCCCTGATAGTTGAAATACCCAAAAATGTCTACAGAGTTTCCTGAAAATCCCCAGTCCAAGGACTGGGAGAGGAAATGGAGTGATGGGAAGCAGGTGTCAAAACTGTTCCTAATTAAGAACCACTACATTAGCTATACTATTTCTGAATAGTAATTGTTTCAAAGCAATAATTACTGGACATCATTAAATTCGTAGTGTTTTGTTTGAGATGGGATCTCTCTCTCTCTGCAGCCCTGGCTGCCCTGCACCTCGCTCTGTTGCTCTGTAGACCAGACTGGCCTTGAACTCACAGAGATCTACCAGCCTCTGCCTCCAGAATGTTGGGATTAAAGGTATATGTCACCACACCCTGCAAAACTAAGTAATACTGGTTAATAAAACTACCATAATGTAAGTTTCTTATTTTTCTAATATGTGACTCATTTTAACTAGTTAAGACTATATAACCTAGCACACAATAAATATTATTTTTGCCCCATTTCAGGTATATTGCAATCTGATAAGTTAAATGTGATTAATAATATTTCTGTTTAATATGATAATTCATGTAAAGTCAGCAGAGGAAAATTTGTATATATTGAATATATACATACAAAATAAATTTCCAGCAAAGATAAATTTCACTGGTTATAGAATTTATATGTAAGTAATAAAATATCACTTATATTGGATGGAAGAAATTATTATAAAAACATTTTTACGTATATTCAAAAAGTAAAAGCAATGAGTTTCACATCACTGTACCATGGAGACTGCCTGGTGTGTCCTATTTGATATAACATAGTTCCTTTCACTATACAAATGACTACCAGATCTTTCTTTTACCTGATTTATCTGTAGAATCTTCAAATTCCACGAGGAAAGAGTACCCATTATTCCAGATGTGGAGGCAGGTGGCCGGGTCGTAAGAGAGAGTGAGTGGTTTTAAGCCAGGGTCATAAACACTGTCCCTCCATCGGATGTTGATGGGTGACTGCCGATCACCCGCAGGAACAAGGTCCAAGTTCTCCCAGAGTGGAGGTACTAGGAGAGAGCAAGTCCAGGTAGTTAGCAAAAACAACCACTATCTAGCACCACACGCAAGACCATCCCATTTGGGAAGAAGCCAAAGAGGCAAAGGCAGCTCACAGTCTCAGAAATTAGCTGTTTGGGGCCTTAATCAACTATGTAAAGCCGATCAGGGCAGGCCAGAGAGCACCTTGCAGGGGAGTCTTCGTCTGTCATCTCATAAAACCAACCCATCTCAGCCTGCCATCAGTTCTGTGGACTCAGCAAAATACACGGGGATTAGAGTGTGGAACCAGTTTTCACAAACGCCGCTCTTGGTTTCATTGCAATTTCTTGAACTCCGACCACCTCAACTGGTTTCAAATACAAAGTCAAGTGAACTTTCAATAACAGACCTTTATCTCAACAAAGGAAACACGGTTGGGACTGTTGGAAAACAAACTTTAATTCAATATTGTCAGTTTTCAGTTGGTTGGCCAGTATAGCCTGCCTCCTAGAAAATGATTGTGCCACACAAGTGTGCATGCCAGGTTCACCTCTACAAACAACTGTGAGGACGAAGCAGCCTCCCACCCTATAAGGCCTGGATAGACACCAGCATTGCTGAGGTCTCTCAAGTCCCCAGTTTGTCAAAAGAATGTGGACACAATCTCTTGAGGCATACCATACAGTTTGTCCAAAACAGGCACTCACTATATGGCTTGTGCTGCTCCCTCCTTCATAGAGGCAAGCCCAGGTCTTTGCCGCAATAAATATTAGCAGACTTTCTGATGATAACACATATGTTAAGCCACCCAGAAATGATGAATAGAACCCACACCTATCAATTTTGGGTGGTCTGCCTTGTCAAACTGGACAGCTGCATGTAAAAGAATCCAAACAATACAAATTTATCACCCTGCACAAAATTCAGCTCCAAATGTATCAAAGACCTCAGCATAAAACCAGATACAGTGAATTGGATAGAATAGAAAGTGGGGAATAGCCTTGAATGCATTGGCACAGGAGAAGACTTTCTGAACAAAACACCGTTAGCCCAGGAACTAAGGTCAACAATAAATGGGACCTCATGAAACTGAAAAGCTTCCGCACAACAAAGGACACCATCATTCAGACAAAGCAACAGCCTACAGAATGGAAGATTTCTACCAACTATGCATCTGATAGAGGACTAATATCCAAAATATATAAAGAATTCAAGAAACTAGACATCAAGAAAACAAATAACCCAATTAAAAATGGGGTACAGATCTAAACAGAAAATTCTCAATGGCAGAAGCTCAAATGGTTGAGAAGCACTTAAAGAAATGTTCAACATCCTTTGCCATCAGGGAAATGCAAATCAAAAGGGTTTTCATCTATCGCCATCAGAATGGCTAAGATCAGTAACACAAGTGACAGCTCATGCTGTCCAGGATGTGAAGTAAAGGGAACACTCCTCCACTGCTGGTGGGAATACAAACTTGTACAGCCACATGGAAATCAGCATGGTGGTTCCTCAGGAAGATGGAAATTGATCTACCTCAAGACCCAGCTGTACCCAAAGATGCTTCATCCTACCCCAGAAACACTTGTTGCTCTATCCATAATATCCAAACACTGGAAACAATCTAGATGTCCATCAACCGAAGAATGGATAAAGAAAATGTGGCACATTTACATAATGGAGTATTATTCAACTGTTAAAAAAAGAAATTGTGAAACTTACAGATAAATGGATGGAACTAGAAAAAAAATCATCCAGAATGAAGTAATCCAGACTCAGAAAGACAAAAATGGTATGTATTTGCTTATATGTGTATATTAGCTATTAAGTCAATAATAACCAAGCTGCAACCCATGGAATCACAGAATAAGAGACTGGGGAGTGGAGACATATCTCCCTAGGAAAGGGAAATGGTATAGATAGTTGTGGATGAATGGGGGTGGCTGGAACAGGAGGATCAGGTTGGGAGAGGGAGGGAAAAACAGGGATGAGGGAGAGAATATGGGGAGAAATAGCTAAAATTAAGGACCATCTGAAGGGTAGTATGGAAACCATATATATATATGAAGGTGATCTAAATGAGATTATCATAAATGAAGGAGACAGAGCCCCAACTGAACATCTCCTGTTACCAAATGAAGTTTCCAGTACTGGGACTGGGTTACACCTAATTGAGTTGTTGGTTAAGGGGTCTCATGGGAACCCCCAAACAACCAAAGCTGTTGCTGAGACTACCAGTTTATGCTCTCCACAAACTGATGGTAAGGCCCTATTGCTGAAGACAACACCTACACAATTCGTTTGAACATGGAGAAACTGAGCTGGTGCCTACATAGAGTCTTCACCCCTATGTTCTAGCATCTTTGATACTCTGCATGTTACCAAAAGAGAGACCTAAACACCAGCCCAGCCACAAACCCTTTGATCTACAATGGTGAGCTGCCTGCAAGATGTGCTGGTGCAATAGTGGCACAAAGCTTGTGGGAGTAACCAACCACTATCTGACTTGAGTTAAGGTGCACTCCACGAGATGAAATTCATACTTGATGATCCTTGGGTGAACAAGAACCTAAGAATAGACAGCCCAGGGACCTAGCCTAAAACCAAATACTACTGTTCTGCTGAAAGAACAAAGCAAAAAAAATGACTTCTAACGACATTCTGCTCTACTCATAGAGCAGTGTCTTGCTCAGCCATCATCAGAGAAGCTTCCTCCTGCAGCAGATGAGAACAAATACAGAGACCAACAGTCAGACAACATGCAGAGTGAGAGACCTGGGAACATTCATCCTGAAATGGGATGTGTTCATTAAATCCCTCCCCTCAGGGCTCAAGGAACCCTGTGGGAAAGGAGGTGGAAAGAACCAGAGAGGATAGAGGATACCAAGGAAACAAGGCCTGATGAATCAACACGATCAAAGCTCATTATGAACTCAGAGACTGAAGCAGATGCACAGGGTCAGCACAGGTCTGCACCAGACGGGGTCCTAGAGCTGAAAGGAAAAGTGGACACATGCCCCTATCCCTAACCCAGCAGTGTCTCCAACTGATAACCACTTGCAAATGAAAATTTAGTTTTCTCCAAGGGAAACAAAGTATTCTTAAGGGTAGACTGCATGCCCCATAGTACATGACCAACAGAAAACAAACAGCATCTTTGAAGGTTCTGTGTCTCATAATGCTGTGACAGGGCTTTTTTAATCCTTTTTTTTTTTTTCAAGATAGGGTTTCTCTGTGTAGCCTTGGCTGACCTGGAACTCGATCTGTAGACCAGTCTGGCCTGGAACACCTACCTCTACCTCCTGAGTGCTTAGGTTTAAAGGCATGTGCCACTACTGCTGGCCTTATTTTTTATTATATGTATTTTTAATTTTTTTCTCCCTTTTTACCCTTTATGTCTTTTGTCTATATATCACGGCTTACAGTTTAGTGTTTTTTATGGGATTCCTGGGTGTGCGAACAAGTGAGTGTCTGCATCTCTATCTGTTTCTTGTGCCTTTTCTTGTGCTCTTTCCCTTCTGTTTGTTTGTTTTGTCCTAATCCAACACGCTGGTGTTTCTTTTATCTATATATTATATTATATTATATTATATTATATTATATATTATATTATTCCTTAGAAGCCTGTTTATTTTCTAGCCTACATAGGTCTACATAGTGAGTTCCAGGATAGCCAATGATATATAGGGAGACCCTCAAAAATAATAATGATGATAATAATAATAATAATAATAATAATGATAAAAATGCTGGGCATGGTGGCATACACCTTTAATCCCAGCACTTGGGAAGCAGATGCAGTCAGATCTCTGGGTTCAAGGCCAGCCTGGTCTATGTAGTGAGTTCCAAGATAGCCAGGGCTATATAGAGAGACACTGACTAAAACATAATAATAATAATAATAATAATAATAATAATAACAATAACAATAATAATAATAATAGAAGCCTGTTTATTTTCTAATGAGAGATAGAAAGGGGTGGACCTGGATGAAGGGGAGGTAGAGAGGAACTGGGAGGAGCAGAGGAAAGATACATAAACAGCAATCAGAATATATTATATAAAGAAACTATTTTCTTTTGTTTGTTCTTTTGTTTTTGTTTTTTGAGACAGGATTACTCTGTGTAGTCCTGACTGTCCTGGAACTCACTCTGTAGACAAGGCTGGCCTCAAACTCACAGAGAGCCACCTGACTCTACTTCCCAAGTGCTGGGATTAAAAGCATGTGCCACCACCACCTGGCAAAAAGAAATTCTATTTTCTCTGCTCTTTGCTGCAGGCTGCATTGGCTGAGCTAGTCTGGGCAGTGCTGGAGAGCTCACCCTGGTGGTGATGATAAGGGAAACCTGGCAGGCTGATCAGCCCAGCTACCACCCAGGCCCAGAACCAGGGCTGAGTTGGCCCACCCCAACACCCACCTCATCTATGAACTGTTGGAGCTGTGAAGGGGATGAACCTACAGATCCAAAACAGCAGGACCTCCATGACACAGGACAATAACAGGACCTCCACGAGAAGCCCCAATGAAAGCCCATTAAAGGTGGCATAGCAGAAGCCAGAGGTCTCGAGCCAGACCAGTGACTTGTAGCAGTGAACACTTGCAAGAAAAGATGAATGGACTAAGGGCAAACCATGTGACTCAACAGGCCACACTACAGCTTCCATGACAAGATTCTTCTCCGCCCCCCCTTCTTTTGTTTGTTTGTTTCTTTGTTTTGTTTGGTTTGGGTTTTTCTTTTAAATTTGGGTTTCTTCTGGAGGGAAGGTTACAAGAGCAGAGAGTGGATTTGAGAGGATGGAGATAAGTGGGATTGGAATGTATGATGTGACATCCACAAAGAGTCAATAAAAGTTAGAAAAAAATCTATTTTCAATGAAAGGGGAAAAAACGAAGCACCAAGAATGGACAGAATCAAGGCCAACCGGAAAAAGGAGAAACATGCGGCTGCAGAGATGGCTTACTGGTTAAGAGTGCTTGCTACTCTTCCAGAGTATCTGAAATTGGGTTCCAGTACCCACACCAGGGGGC